GATATTAATAAGGAACCAGCAGATCAAGTAGCTTTTGGAATAAAACACCAATTTTTTTAAAATTAAACACTATCTAAAGATTTGCATCGAAGCGTTTATTTTTGATAGTGATTTTAATCACTGTCAGATATCATTTACTTGATCCAACTATGCCACGTCACCACTGTGCCGCGACCCCCCTGTGCTGGGTTTTTTTTAGTTGATTGTTTACATTTATTGATAACTTTTGTTTTAATAATATGTAAACATTAAGGTGCGTATCGATTATGAGCGGCAGCTGCTCGAGCCATGTTCGTCCACGACAATCCGTTTATTTGCCGCGCGAGCTATTTTAACTTATCTTATTTTAGAGCGCGGCAGCCTCGCGTGGCAAGTTATCCAGATTATTCCAACGTTCAGTTTTCGCGAGATAACCATGGTCGTTTCACGTGCACGAGCAGCTGCCGCTTTCATCGTAATACATCACATTATTAATAAAAAACCTGAACGAAAAGCGCGTTAGTAGATGAAGAAATTGTATGTCAATCGAATGCAGTATGGAGTGAAACTTATGGAAAATATGAGATATGAAGCCATTGGAGACACAACAAAAAATTTTACAAGAAGGACAACCATAGACATTGAGCACTTAAAATCATTAATTGAGCCACAAGTGAAGTAAATGAACACGCAATTTTGAGAAGCGATTTCAGTAACGTAAAGATTAGGTATAACATTAAGATTTCTAGAAATTGAAGATTCGTATACAAGCCTGCAATATCTTTTTCGAGTATCAAAACAATCAATTTCACGAATAGTTCCAGAAGTTTGCGACGCGTTGTGTAATGTTCTGAAAGATTGGGTAAAGGTAAGAAATAATAAACAGTTTTAATTTACACGTTTTACCATTTATTGTAATCGCTAATAACAATAAAATAACCTTTTTTAATAAAAACTTTCAACTTAGAAAAAAAAATCATTCACTTTAATTAGTTAAGAATCCATTCCAAATCTTCATTGTCACAGGAGTTTGATGAAGTTGACTGTAAAGGAAATTGAACTATTGGCTGTGGAGAGGAAACTGGTGGCTAAGGAGACGGAACTGGTGGCTGGAGAGATGGAACTGGGGACTGAGGAGATGGAACTGGAGTCTGAGGAGAAGAAACTGGTGTCTAAGGAGATGGAATTGGGGTCTGAGGAGACGGTGTTGAGTTTTGAGTAGTATTGTAGTAGTTACCATGTCCATAATTAGGACTGTAACAGCCCAAATCAGCTTGAAATATCACATTGTTGATTGCATTTTTCACGTAAATTAAAGTTCGTTGATCATATTTACGGAGTTCGTTTGCTATGTGCTGGCCGTAAGTGGAATATGAGTCGGTGGACAATGATATTTCATTTAGAATTTGAAATGCTTTTTTCAACATAGGTGACTCTTCAGTATTTTTTTTTCTTTTAATATTTTTAACTGTAGGAATATTCGTAGCTTTGTAAATATCTGTTGGTTTTTCTACATGTTTATCAGTACTGTCCGTAGCTGATGGTGCGTTTGGTTCTACATCATTATTTTCAAATGTTATCACATTTTGAGTTGTTAATATCTATAAATTAACGAATAAAGTTAAAAAAAAAGTAAATATGCTTATTTAATTGTTACAGGAACCAGACTCTGAAGAAGAATGGTATGAGTTAGCACAAGATTTTGAAAGAAAATGGAATTTTCCTCGTGCAATAGGTGCGATAGATGGGAAGCATGTAATGTTACAAGCCCCTGTGAACAGTGGTACAGAGTTTTATAACTATAAACATTTTTTTAGTATTTTCCTAATGGCTTTGATGGACGCTGACTATTGCTTTAGGTACGTAGATGTCAGTTATCAGGGTAGACTTTCAGATGGGGGTGTTTTCAAGAATACTAAGTTATACAAAAACTCGAAGAAAAATCTATGAAAAGCCCTCCCCTATCAATACTTCAAGTCCTCTATGCTATCAAAATACCTTATATAATTCTGGCTGACAAAGCTTTTTCACTTAATGAATACACAATGAAACCATTTCAAGGAGAACCAGCCAGAGGTTCTCAGGAAAGAATCTTTAATTACAGGCTGTCTAGAGCACGAAGAGTCGTTGAAAATTCATTCGGAATTCTCAGGTCAGTATTTAGAGTACTACGGAAGCCTATGTTACTAGAACCAAAAACGGCTACTAAAATTGTTCTAACCACTTTTCATTTGCATAATTATTTGAGGAAAAAACCAAATACGCGATCGCTATACGCGCCACCTGGATCTCTAGATAGTGAAATAAACGGAGAACTTAGACCTGGCACTTGAAGAAATGAGCCTGCACTTACATCACGTCTGCCTATGCCTTGTATTCCACGAAGAGCGGGAAACTATGCAAAAGAAATACGTTCACATCTAGCTTATCATTTTGTTACCAATGGAGATATACCGTGGCAAAACAGATATTAAAATTTTTACTTACATCTTCCGGCATCGTTTCGGATGTTTCATTAGGTACGGCTTTGTCTTTCATAAAACCAAAGTTGTCAAAAGCAAACCACTTCGATACGTAAACTTGATGTGTACCTATAATAAAATAATGTATATACAATTCATATTGTAATACTAATGATGAAATAAATCAATAAATGTTTCAGTATTCTGTACAATCAGTGATGTAAAAATAACGTAGGTATTATATCTTTCGTTAGTATAATAAGTGTATTATATAGTATTTAAAAAAAAATGTTTGGTGTTTACATTATTGTATAATATATTTATCCAAGTATATCACTGTTATCAGTTGAAACAATATGCATTGCATGCATTATCGGCCTAACATTTATCACTGGGGTTTTTTCTTTTTATTCCATTTTTATTTTATTTTCTGATAGACAACGTATAATACAATGTTATACAGTTTGTATTATTCAATTTACATCACTATTTACAATACTGCGTAATACTAACCGGAACCAGTAATTAGACTTTTAGCTATTCTTGATTTCTCTCTTCTATATGATGCCTGAAGAGTTGTCATTTTCTTCTTCAGTTCTGGAACAGGTATGCTCATTACTGAACTTATTTCATTGCAAGCATCTTCCCTCATCGACTTATTGTGATAAAGTTGAGATTTACTATTCCATAGAAAATCTTTAGCACCATACAATTGTATTAAGACACGACACTTTTCGTTGTCCATGGTGGTAGCAAAAATGTCGTATTGCCTCGCGAGCGAATTTGAAGTGTTATTGACCATCCCAACTGCTCGCGAGCAACTAACTAAAACTTCTATGCCGCGTGCTATTTTCCGACATAATTTGGCTCGCCACGCGGCATGTTCGAGTGCGACAACAAAAAAGTTATCTTGCGCGGCAACTCGGTATCCATTTGGCGCGGTTGCCGCGCGAGCCAATGTTCGAGGGTTTGCCACTCATAATCGATACGCATTTTTACAAAAATATAATCTTGGCGATGAGATATCGTAAAGATTAGATAAACAATCTCACAAAAGAAATTAAAATTTTTTTTTTAATTGTGTTAAGGTTGTTGAGCAACTTAAATTCACAAAATTGCATTAAAAAAAAATGTCTGATAAATATAGAATATACACACATCTCACAATGTCAGACAAGACAAATTATGCAGTATTACATTAATTCTTAAATGAAAAATACCAAAAATATGTGATCAATCAATGCCTAATTGTTTATTGTAGCGACATCTAGCAGTAAAAAAAAACATTATATATTATTGTATGGTAACCATAAATTTTGTAAACATGGATAGGACATTGATGCTTCATCAATGAAGAATATGGTGATAGTAAATTGAGGCTATTTGTTTGCATTATTACATGATAAGATTTTACTTTTTATTATTTAATGGTTAGTAATAAATAATTATTATAAGTTATGTAATTTATAATAATGTAAAAGTTATAAGTTATAATTTATTATAAACTTATTACAAAATTAAAAACAGTATCTTATGCGCTTATCACAATTAAAATGTAAACAAACGGCCTCATATTAATATCAGTTCAGGATCGCGAAAACACTAGGGCCTCAATTATGAATATCCTATCCATGTTTATAAGATCTATGGTGGTAACCAAAATTTATTAGTGATAAGTATTGGTTGATTTGGAAACACTTCATACTCGTTAATAATAAAAGTACTTTATCTAATTCGAGTATAAAAATGTAAACAATATTTAATAATTAATTTTAGAAACGCATTATAAATCTTTATATTTATAAAACATTTAATGAAATTTAATTCACCAAAGCATTTAATAAAACTAATGTATTAATTTATCCCGACAGTAAAATAATTTTAAAAAAAATTATTTGAGAAATAATTATATTTATTTTTTAAATATCCTTATCACTAACAGTTGTTCTGATATATGGATATATTTTTTAGATTACTTACCCATACATTTAAATTATCTGTGATTACCAAAAACAATAAAAGTTTAACCATAGCGGTTAATATAATATCAATAATATCCTGATAAATGATAAAAATAAATAAATTTCGCTACAAATTTACAATAACAAAAATAAAGTTTTACTTTCCTTTATATGTATATATATATAGTTGAGTATTACTAGTTAAATATCAATTAGATAAATTTGAAGTCTTATATAGTAATGTATGATGAAACAGTAAAATTTTTATAACTGCTTTAGATTTAAGTTATCTTTTCTACTTTAGCTGACTAATAACTTTAAGAAATGGCATCTTCAGTTGAGTTTAAGAATCTAAAATTATCAGAATGTTTTGATCAAGGTTTAACATCGTACGAAAACATTTGTGAGTCAACTGAGCCATCCAAAGAATCAGAAGTTCAAGTCTGTTAATTTTTCTTAATACAAAACTGTTTATTTAATTATTATTTTTTATTTACAGTATAAAATAATTAAATGTATGAAAATGTTGGAATATGCAACCCAACTTGTTTCTGCAGCTGAATTGTATAGTAATAATGAGACTATTGAAGAAGTACCAACATCTGATATAAAATATATGTTGCTACCGTTTATGTTAGGTTCTCTTGCTTTAAAGCTTACCAATAATGGAAATCGGTTAAATGTGGTAAAAACAGCTGAAGTATATTTCAGAGATTATTTGCAAAGGTTTATATTAAATAATAAAATAATTTTAATTTAATATTAATAAAATTAACAAAAACTTTTTTCTAAATAAAATTTCGAATAAATATTGATTAACTATTGAAATTTTATCAAGGTGCAAAGATTATGGTTTAACTGATGTCACATTACCTTCTCCATATAATGAAACGGATGAAACAACAACTCAATTTTCTATGGATTTTACTTTAATGGCTCGTAGACGTGCAGAAAAAATTAAAAATTATAAAGAACAGAAATTAATGGAGTCTCAACTTCAATTATTAAAAGAACAAAATAAATGTGAAAATGTAGAAGAAGAATGCAAAAGAAGCTATATTATTTCTTTACTTAAGTTTAATGTTAGTAAAGCTTTAGAAGAAATTGATTCTCTTCAAGCTGAAATGAGAATATTACATTACAAATTAAAAAATGAAGATAACCTTGATCAGATTAAAGGATCTAAAATTAAAAGTAAACCTTTAACACCCATTATTATCACCAAAAATGAATTACAAAAAAAAGTTTTTGGTGCTGGATATCCTAGTTTACCAACTATGACTGTTGAAGAATTCTGTCAACAACGTATCAATGATGGAGTGTAAATATGCTATATTATCTTAAGAAAATTAAGAAAATCATGTTATAATAAAAATTTATTTGTTTAGATGGCATTTACCCACAGCTGAAAACACAAAATGCTTGCAACAGTTAGATGAAGCTCCAAAAAAACATGAAAGTGATAATGAAGATCAGCTGAATGAAGAAGTAGAAGAAAATGAAAGGCAGCGTTTAAATGCTCGTGATGAATATAAGGATGATCATCGTCGAGGTTGGGGAAACAGATATAATAGAAGTTAAAAGCTTAAAAACAATTACTAGATTGTATATTTACTTGTTCCATATTATTTAATAAAAACATTTTCAAGTTACATGTAATAAGAAATTGTTTCTTAATATTTATTTTATACATTTTTAATAGTATCCTTTTTTTTCGTATCATCATTGTTTAAAATCCTATTTAGTAAAAGAAATTGTCATTAATTAAATTTTAAAGGATTGAAAATATTTTTTTTCAATTAGAATTGATCCAACTCTACACAAAGTAAAAGATAAGGTTGAAATTTTCCAAGAAAGTAACTATGCATTAGATATACAGCTTTAGAAGGGATAGTGAAACATTTTCTTAGTATTAAATCTCTCGAGTAGATATTCCAGGGACTTATTTAGAGGGGAAAGTGAGTATCATCTGATTGTCATTTTTTTAATTAGGAGGCAGTAGCATTTGTTTGTAACCATAATATATAAAAAAGGGGGGATATATAGGGGTGACAATAAAACTTTACCTGAGTCGTCAAAACTCATAATACGTCTCTGAAATATCAACAACTGGTTTTATTTTAGATATATATATATATGCATTGATGTTATACAAAGATTCTTACAATTATGTTAGAAGAAAAATAGGAATGAATAAGATTACACTTTATGAAAAAAAAGTTATAATAATCAATATAAAAAATTCATTTTTTTTTTCATTAAAATTTGAGATTACTATCTAATACTACTAAAATATTCAACTATTTTTATAAACAAAAAAGATAATTCATTAAATATTGATAAAAAAAAAACACTCGTAGACTTAAAAGTGTTAATAGTTTAGTCTACTTTATTAATTTTTAAATTCACCTAGTTAAAATTATATCATGTGTGTAGGAAAATAGGTGAAGTTACATATCTCAGCCAGATAAATTGTTGAAAAAGTTATTAAATACATATATGGGTGATACTTTTTTTGGTCGAAAAATTTTGCTCCCAAGATTTTTTTTATTTCTTTGGAGTAAAAAATATGTATTCCCAAAATGTTGAAGCCATATCTTGATTTTTTACTGAGCAGGTAAGCTTTAAAAGTTTTCCGATTTAAATTAAATGGTTTTTTTTTTCAAAAATAGTTATGAAAGTTGAGAAAAAATCTTATAAATATGAAACACATGTCAATCGATGTAAAATGTTTTGAGCTTTCAGGTCCAGTAATAAAAAATATGCTCAAACGACGTTTTACGAATGCACAAGGCGTAAATGTAGTAAAATGTGGTAAAATCACGCAAATTCAGATTATTTTCAATTAGAAATCATTTTAATTGCGTAAATATTTATATTATATGAATTATTAATTAAATTTATTTATACATTATAATAAATATAGTGCAATTTATACTTTATTCAAATCATACACTGAACATTATATTTATTTAGATGTTATAAATAACCTACACATAATGGCGTCTTAAAAAATTTTAGATATTGAGAATTGTTAAAATAAATAGTATTTGTATTTGACCAATTTGCAATATCGTTTAAGTAATAAAACATTTTTTAGTATTATCTTTCTCTATATCACTGATAGATTTCAATACAATTACTATTTTATCTTTTCTTTAATATTTTCAGAGAATATTTCATCAAAAAATGCCATTGCAGCTGTTTAATTAAGTTTATTTAAAATTAAAAATTTGGTAGATTATTCCAAAAGCAACATGATCTCCTATTTCCTTATTTTTTATTCTAATTACAAATTTTATGATTTATAATTGTAATATATGTATAAATATTTATTATAGCAATTAAATGTAGTATGAAATTGATATTTAATAATTTAGTATTGTAATTTTTACAGAGAAATTATAAAAAATTATAAAGTAGTTATTACTTTGAGGTAAACGTATATAAAAGTTAAAGGTCTTGATGCAACACTTCAAAAAAAATTGTTTGTTATTTATAAATAAATTTACTGTTCTACTAAGAATTTTCATCCGAGACCATAGTATACTTTTCTAAACCAATTTTTGCACAGATTTCAAATCTGCAATTAGAGTTTCGCATAGGGCCTAAATAATAACAAAATCCTTCTAATTAATATAACAAATATTTATGTTTGATTATTAGGTTACATATGGATAATCAATAATGATATTTTAATTAAAAATAAGTTGAAAAAGTTCATATTTCTAAACGCATAATTAAGTTTTGAACCACCCTTGTACACCCAGAGAAAAACCTCGATCTATATAATAAATTCATTGTTCAATTTGATAAATATATCATTACTATTGAATCTATGATATATTTATCAATATGATAATTTTTTTTCTTGTCTTGAACAATAATTATTTATAAGAATAATTATTTTGTTCGTATTAATAAAACATTATCATAAACCCTTGATAAAATTTCTCTATCAAAATTGATTGAGGTTTTTCTTTGGGTGTATAAAGAGAGATGGCTCGATTTAAAAAAGTATGTCGAATGAAAGAGGTATATAATTAGTATTTATCATAAAAAATTGTATTGATCCATTTTTCAAAAAGTTATAACATTATAAAGTTAAAAATATAAAAATGAATTTTCTACAAAAATCGTATTTTTTTAATTAACTTTGTTGTTCGTTTTCACCGTGAAAACAAAGTCCATTTTTTTTTTTATATTTAAGTATATTACATAAGCTTTCATTTAATGTATATAACTGTCATTATATCCGAAAATTTTTCAAAGATTAAGTTGAGATAGTTGTCATTTTAAATTCCTTTTCTGTGGGCAGGTAAATGATCAGATTTATAAAAAAATATACACAAAATGATAAGTACCTCAAGTATCTATAAAAAAAAAATGTATTGATCCATAAATTTTTCAAAAAGTTATGGTTGTTTTAAGTAAAATACATTTTAAAAATGTCAAAAATTAGCAATTTTTTAAAAAAATTCCCCCATTTACGAGGAACGAGGGAAAATTTTTCAATTATTGAGGGCAATGTCTCCGATTAGATATGATTTGTTATCTTTTGACGTATCGTTGAAAGAAATCGGTTCGGCGAGAGCTAAAAAAAAGTGGTAACAGACACAAAAAATAATAATAAAATAAAAAAAAATAAATCATAGCGAAATACCTTCTCAAATTCGCAACGAACCTAATAAAGAAATATAAACAAAACTGTGTATTTATTTTTTAGTATTATTGGATATTACAATGATAACTTAAATCACACATGTGTAATATACCCTATGTGTTCTTCTATAATGTTGATTTTAACATAAATTTATAAAAAAAATGTTTTTTTAGCTCAACTTACAAGTTTGAAACCTACATCAATAAATAAGAAATTTTATGAGGATTTAAAAAATTGTTTTGTTTAATTGATAAGTGGTCGGGAACTTATGTAATTACTATTAACTGTTAAATTATATAAAAGCTCCATATATTGTTAAAATCGCTATTTTCTTGTAAACATTTAATAAATCATTTTAACAGAAATCTTAGTAATCAATCCTATATAATTCTGTTCTAAAAATATAGTTATTACCTACAGTTATGTATTTGTTTTACTGAGTAAACATTACATTTTGTTCTACATTGACGTCAAGAATAATGCTTAATTTTATAGTTTGTTTTATTAATGGTACCATTTTATAGCTAAACATTTATATTTTAATCTTTATAAGTGTATAATCGTGCATTTTGAAATTAATTAAATATGTTTCGCCTTGTTTATAATATCTTTTTATACATAAGTGTTCCATTTTCAAATGTATTTGGTGAACAGTTTGCCAACTTTTTTCCGGTTGATTTTAGTAACTATGATTCAATCAAGTTATCAGTTATTCTAGAAGAAATCCATAGAAGTGATATATTAAATCATGTGGGGAAATTGGAAGATGGTATGATAACTTTTGAAGAACATGGTAATTTAATATACTCGCGTTCACCTCCAAATGCAGTGGGAGATTTTATGAACGTGTTATTTATCGACATGTTGATGTTTTATATTAATGAAATTACTCGTTTTAGTAATATCCCGGTTAATGAAAAATCTGATATCGTCAATGAAATAACCTCAATAAAAAACTTATTTCCCGAGTGCAAATATATTTTAAATATTCTGAATTACTTATACAACAGCGATGTCGAATTCGAACGTCTCTTGAGCTTATATTACACATTATGTGTTTCAATAGAAAAGTGGTGTGATTTTTATTTAAAACAAAATACAATAACATTTAATCCTTTTATTGCCTCAAGAGATAAACTCTTAAATAAAAGACATATTGTTGATTTATTAGATGGAGCAAAATATAAAGAAAATTATAATAAAGTGTTTAGTAATTATAACGAAACTGAAAGAATTAATTTTTTTAAGCGTTTCGATAAATTGTTTCATACAATTAATAAGCTTTGGATGAAACCGGAATCGTTAACTTTTTCCTTTTTATTTGATAAAAAATATAAAGATAAACAAGATGATAGCTTTATGTATTTAATTACAAAGGAAGTTCACGTAAATGAATGTTATATATACAAACCTAACGAAAAAATAAGCCTAAAAAAAATGTATAACACTAAAATACGAACTGAGAGTGATATTAAAGTTTTGTTAAGATTTTTCAAGCTTATATTGAATACAATTGATAACGTCTTTAACGAGTTCCTTTATCATCATTTTTATATTATTTATTCAAATATGATAAGTGAAACTCATACTGTTGAGCAAATGTATCTAGCTTTACAGCCGCTTATGAAAAAATGTAACTGGAGAGAAAAAATTCAGAAATTTGAATCTATAATGCGTTATTTAAACTTCAGTTACGAGAAAAAATCAACTCGTCAAGACCTCTTGATTATGATGAATAATAATAATTGGAAAAACGATTTTATTAAATCTAAAACATTTTTTTTATTTAAAAAAATAGTGTCTTCTTACCAGCTCAATTTAATATCAACTAATATAACTAAAGAGTGGCAATTAATTGATACGAAAAAACAAAATAATAATTACGCATTTAACTATGACGAAACAAATGAGAGGCTTTGTAATAACTGTATGCGAGTAGATGACTTTCTAGGGTCTCTAAAAGATATTGCAATTTATTATCATAGTATGCCTACATATATGTAATCACAGAACAATATAAAATCTTAAATTTTCAAAATAATGTTAGAAAACAATTTGATTTTTAGTAAAAATAATTCTCAATGTAACATCAATTTGTACTTAAAATGAATGCTAATTTAATATATAGAGTACAAGATGTTGTCTGTTTAACTAATTGGGTATGCTTAAGTTCTAAATCCTTAATAATTATTTCTTGCAAATTTTGATATTAATTTCCTTTAATAATTTAATTTCATAACAATATACATGCAAAATAAAACTTACTATGTATTAATAAAATATAAGAAATTACATAATATTTTAAGGCTTTATATTTTTTAAATATAATTATTTTTATGAGTGCTATTTACATCAATGTGCATTAAACTGTAGTTATTTTTACATAATTGTTTACATTAAAATATTAATTTAATAAAAAGCGTTGAATCAGAAACCACAAATTTCGTTTATGTGAAACAAAATAAAATTGTAAATGAAAATTAAATTATCATTAATCCACTACAAAAATTATTTAAGATATATAACATTTTTTGTAGTCTGTAATTTACAATCTAATAAAAATATCTGTATTTAAACAAATTGGCCCTATTATAAGTCAAATTATTATTCTTTGAATAATGAAATAAAAGGAATTTTCCAAACAAATTAAAAATAGTTTTTATAACTTTAAAGTACGTGATTAAGTAAAAATCTTGAATTCATGATCCGAAAAAGATAAACATTTGTTTTATTGATTTCGAAATTTAATAGTTCCTCTATGAAACACTTTTAATTTATTTTTCATTACAGATAACAATCTTTTTATTTTGTAGGAGAAATAAAAAATATATTATTTATCATGCACGGATAAAATTTTATCCAACTCCTAATAATTGTAATTAATATGTTTTTATTTTTTGTGTTTAATATTTCGGACAAAATGCAGTTTCAATTAAGAGGATTAAAATGGATTTACTTTTTTTATTGGACACTGAATTTAAAATAAGTTGTAACTTTGGGGCAATTTTATTCTATACAAGTTATTACAACTTATAAATTTTATAACAATTATTATTCAATTAATATTGTTGTAAGCTAACAATACACACACGAAAACTTGAATATTTGTCTTATAAACATCGTAAAATGACGTTATTCCATTAATTTTAACATTCAAACTAATGCGGAACGAAAACTCCTCTTTTACCTATATTGAATATCTATTGTACATAGTTTTTCTGTAGTAGTTATTTGAAAAAATAACAATTAAAACATGAATTCTTCAGTACCATATTACAAATTATTAGCTTTGAGACATGCGTCGTTCCCGAACAAACTATAGTTCGTAACCTATAGATTACTGAACGATAATATAGTAAACAAATACAAGCCAAAAAATCGTCGTTCGTTTACTATTTTTTTTTGAAATGCTTGATAGGCGTACTATTACAAAGTTATATCTCTGATTCTTGGTACAAACAACTCAAGTCAAATATTGTAATTTCTGACTGAAGACAATTGACAACAAGTTACAAAAAAAAAAATCTATTTAATTTAACCTAATCCTCTTAAGTCATTTATCTTATAAATACACAAGAATTTGATAGTTGATTGTAAAAATATATGCTTGATATAATAAATAAATATAATTATTGGTGTAACAAGCATATATCTACTTGTACAAATTTTGGATTTATGACTATGTTGCTATTTCTGTATCTTGTGTTAATAACAAGCGTAATATTAATTATATTTAATTTAATTTAGCGTTCGTGTTGTATATTATATATATAAGTGTAAAAAGGAACCCTAAAGTAACTATTTAAAGTTTATAACTCTATTTAACTTATTCACCGCCTCGTGTAAAACGATATTACACTTTTTACTATTTCTCTCATTTTAATTATACAAATTTTTAAATGTATGTAAAATGATTAATACGAGTAATTAAAATTAAAAGATTGACATTACTAGTAGTTTGAATTATTCATACTATTCATTAAAATGTTTCGCGATTATTACTGAGATGATTAAACAATTAATTGTTCATATAACGTTGTGTACTGTAGTTGTAGAATAACATTTCACGATCTAAGTAATCGGTATCAGTCCATTATGATGTCTGTGATAAGAACGTTGTAAACTCATTCTTTTTGTACAATGATTGATATCACATTTTGGTTTCAATGATTATTATTACATTTATTACAAACATTTCGTAGTTATTGTGGTGAAAAATAGATACAAGGTATTATTTATTTGATTAAAGTAATAATTACTTATCTCTAAAAAGATAAATGATGTTGGAGTAAGAACGTTTGTTTTAGAAATCATAAAATAAAATGCATTCGGAATTTTATTTCCTGTAAATTTAGAATTGAAATTACTTGATATATCATAAATAAAGACACAAATTTTAGTTATGGCAACACTAAGAGAGCATATATTAAAACTAAAAGGTGTTTCAAAAAAAAACCTTAGACCGAGATTGTCTATAACAGATCCATACGAAAAGTTTTGGTAATTTTATAATATTATATATATATCTTGAAAATTAATGATGTGAATATATGAATTTTTAGGCCTCTTTTAGATGATGAAAAAACAAAAATTTTAATAACTATGATGGAGAAGTAAGTAGCTTATATCTGTTTTTTATTTAAAAGTGTATATTGTAAGTTATTTCATACTTAAGTAATACAGTATCAATTGTATAGTAACTATACAATTGATACTGTATTACTTAAGTATGAAATAACTTACAATATACACTTTTATGATATGAGCAATTAAATTAACTGTTAATTTAATTGCTCATATGTAATTTCAACAGTAGTATACAGAAAGATTAGATTAAAAATTTCTCTATTTAACATCAATATTTTGTTAATATACATAATTTTAGATTTACTAAAATTTTATATTTTGTTGCTTTATGATAATATATACCTGACTTTACTATGTATGCTATTAATATTATACTCTTAAATATAAATGTATGTTTAGGGTTAGTATGGTGTTAAAAGGCTTAATTAGCAATATGATCAAATGGGCTCTAAGATATACTAAAAATTGTTAGTTCCACTTCATACTTCTCTATTTTCTTAATTTAAATAAGGTAAACATTAAATATAATAAAAAAACAACACTTATATTATAATTATCAATATTTTACAAAAAAGGTTAACATTTTATACTCATACTAAATAATACATATACTATAAAATTAATTTTTATAAATAATATAATTTACTTCAATTTATTTGACCTTAAAAAATAAACCGATAACACAATTTACAGTATGCAATTTATAAATATCTAAAGTTGATCCAAATATGGTAAGACACTCATTTTTTCAGAAAGAATTTTTAATTTTTGTAAAGAAAAATATGTTAGCTTTAAAAAACTATAATAATATGTGGTAATATAATGTTATCCTTTCAAGGATAAAAATCCTTAACTATATTTTTTTTTTATTAAAATCCCTATTTTAAACTTCATAATATGATGGAAAATTGATCTGAATTTATAATGGCATAAATCATTTGTTTTGATAGATATAACATATTATATTGTTATCTCTCATTTAGCATATGATAAAAAAATTGCAAACTTATTTGCATATGTAAGTCAATCAAATATATTATATTAATAATATGTCAATATCAAAATATTATATGTTCATAAAATGCAATTCATGACATAACTTTTATGCTTTAAATTAAAATTCATGTTTATATGATATATTTCATAGACATTTTGAAATTATATTTTATTTCTACTAAAAACCATGTATATTCAGATTAATTAATTTTTTTACCGTCCTTCTATATTTCATTTACATTATAATCTATATTTAATATGTTTGATACAGTATTCATTGAACAATAAATATTGTATTAACTCTTAAAAATATAATTATAGTAATGTAATTTGTGTAAGTGAACTACAATAATGAAATAATCTGGGCAAATTAAGATTCTAGACCACTGATTATTTTTTTTGTGAAGTTCATAATTAAAATTAAATAATAAATTCGTTAAATAATTTAAAAATTATTTTTTTTCTTATTAAGAAGCATATTTAATAAAAAAAACATAATATATATATATATATATAACATAATATAAAAATAACGAAATATATATTTAGAGTGGTCCACAATGTTTTGACAAATCTAATGACTTTTGATTTACTGAATATTTTTTATTACATTTTTTTAAATAATTTTTACAATGTTTTACTATGTTAAAAGTATATTTATTGTTTGTCTCTAATAACGAAAACATTTATTATTATTATTTTTTTAAATTTCAAAATTGTTCCCCTTATATTTCAAAAAATTTGAATATCAATATCAATTTTAGGATCAGTACTTACTGAGTTATAAGCATTTTATACATAGAATGTATATGTGTATGGTGAAGTGCTCTTACCTCTTACGCCAGTAAAAGCTGTACTACTAATTCACGATATACATTTTATAGAGTAAATTATAAGAAATAATTTAGTAGCATAATCTCTTATTAATGTTTTGTAATTAAATTTATAAAGCGTTTTAAAATTTTATTTTTTTGTGTTACTTTTATGGTATAAAACATTGGGAATTGCTCACCAGAAAAAAAAGAATCTTTATATTCTAAGAATTAGATATGAGATTTTTTCTATTATAAATTATAAAAATTAGATTTGTTAATAAAAGAAAAAGCATTATTTTTCGGCTACATAAGGCATAAGTAGTACTGTGATTCTAAAAGAACTAGGTGGAAATCACCAGTTCCCCACCTTGTTAGTTCATACATGCCATAAAAACGACATAACATTATTACTATGGTTCAAAGCAATTAAATTATGAATATTTTCTCAAACAAAGCAAGGAAAATTTTAGTTTTGTATCAAAATTCTAAAGATATTAATTTTTATAAGGTACTTTATTTTTTTGTGTAAATTATCAGCTTTCACTGAACCAATTTTGATTAATGACACTTTAAAAGATCAAAAATTGTTTCTAGTTGAAGATATTACCATTTGGAAATTGAAAAAATTATTCATTATAAATCATTATCATTGTAAAAAATAAAAATTTCCCAAACAACAATTTTTAAAATCAATATATTTTGATATTAAAAAAAAACTTTTAGCTGTAACCTAATTTTCAAATAATGTTAACTTCAAAAAAAAAAAAAAAATTATGAATCAAAATTAATTTTTATTAAGTGTATTATAGATGTGTCCCTTTTGTTAAATATATTTTTTGAGAATCTGATACATACTAGTATAAAATTTTATACTTCAATAATATTTTCAAATTAACTTTTGAAAATGTTACGGATATTTTGCAACCTTTAAACCTATTTTAAATTTAAGTTTATGTAATATGCTGCATGTTGAAAAAAAAGCTCCAATGATTTATCTTCCATGTTAATATGACCATGATATTATATTGTAAAAATGATTATATTTATTTTATAATTTTAACTTTTATTACTATAATATTTGAAAAAGTTATGATTTGATACAAATTTTCATTTCATGTTTAACAAACTTCCAAAGTAATAAAGATAATTTAGTTTTTATGCAAAAGTAGCTCTTTTTAGTATCATTATTTTTTACCTTAATCATTTTTTACTGGTTAGTATCTATATTTTCCGTCAAATTTAATAATGGATGTCAGCAACCCTTCATTTTTAAAGATTGACTCTTTATAAAAGAAATTTTAATAAAAATATTTTAAGGGCAGGTTTTTGCAAATATTACTTCTCATTAACATATTTAGAGGATCTCGCCCCAAAAAAATTATCATCTTCTCTACTAATGACTTAGAATAAATTACATGTACAATTTATTATTTTTTGTTTAGCAAAGATAATGCTTTGAGTGCAAAAGTATTTATTTGAGTTTATCTATCTAATTTTTCGAATTTTTTTTTAACAAATCATTTATATTAACAATCAAATTGTCTTTAAGTACATTCACATTGTAATGTTTTTTTTAATATTGATTTTAATTGGACATTTTAATCTATACTAGTCTTCACTCAGCTATATACTTTATATGTTGAGTCTCATTTGTACTGGTTTATTTTAATCATTAGTTTTAAAAAAATATACGTTTTTACAGAACAATTTTAAAAGAAAATGGCAAACTTAAAGTCAACTGGTTAGAATTAAAAAAATTACCATTAGATGTTCGTAAATGTTTAATGAAAGATTTATCAAGGAATCATAAAATCATAAATCCAAAATTAAAATATCAAAGGTAATTTTTCAATAAAAAATGATATGAATTAATATCTTAAAATTGTATAATTATATAAATTTTTAGCAGAACTTTTCATGAGTAGGTTTGAAACAAATTTAAAATACACTTATGGTGATTTTCCAAAAATTTGGGTTAGGTATGTCGATGATATTTTTGCAGTTATAAATAAAGATTTTAATATGGGGGTTTTCATACAACATTTAAATTCTTTTTACCCATCGATTAAATTTACATATGAACAAGAAATAGAGGGAAAATTGCCTTTTTTGGATTTATTAGTTAAAAGAACAGAGGGGGAACTAAATTTTGAAATTTATCGGAAAAACACACACACGTTCAGATACATTCCGAACACATCGAACCACACCTGGCAACACAAATTGTCAGCTTTTAATAGTATGGTTTACAGATTAATTAATATTCCGATGAATAAAATAGATTATGATAAAGAATTGGTGGTTATAAAAGAAATAGCTAAATTTAATGGGTATAACGAAAACATAATTTTGAAATTAGTCCGAAAACAAAAGTGGAAAAAAGAAAGGAGGGCAGCTAGTACACTCTCCAGCGAGGGGGAACAAAAAGTAATTAGATCACCAATTTTATTTTATCCGGGCATCTCAAATGGATTAACTAAAATATTTAAGAATTTTGGTATTACTTTGGTAACATCTAAGAGTAATAATTTAAGAGATTTATTAGGTAACCCTAAAGATAAGGTAGATGAAGGGGGGAAATCAGGCATTTATAAAATACAATGTGAAAGTTGTAATAAATGTTACGTAGGACAAACAAAAAGAAATATAGGGGTCAGGTTTAAAGAGCACTTAAGAAATATTAAAAATCAAGAAGTTGAGAAATCTCCAGTGGCTGAACATTTATTGACACATAATCATTCCATTAAAACCATAAAACTAATTAAAAACGTAAATAATTACAAAGAACTTAATATCAGAGAAGCAATAGAAATGTTTAAAAATAAAAACAATTTAATTAATTGGGATCTTGGCCCACTGAAAAATTCATTATTAAACTTGTGTAAACTGGCAAAATGTGATAATATTACTTAGTGATGACGTCACTAGGTGATAAGGTCACTAGGGGTATATAAGGGAGTTTTTTCTAGTCGGGGTGTCAGTATGTGTTTAGCGTTGATAATGGTAACATTGTTTCCGAAATACGTATCCGTGACTTTTCATTAATTTTTTTGTGGCTTTGAGTTTAATATTTTTTAGTTTTTTAAATTAATAATATTTTTAATATAGTTTTAATTTTACTTATATAAATATTAATAGTAGAATTATATAGATCAGTTTTCAAGATGGGTATAAATGCAGTGAGTCGATTAATTGAAAAAGAAGAGTTAGTTTGTTGCATTGTTGCTGAAGATGTTGGAAATAATATGTTAGCTAATCATTTAATAATAATGGCTGCTATAAAAAAGATACCTGTTGTTGTTCTACCAAATATGCGGCTAGTTACAAAACATTTAATTGGGTTCTCTTCAGCAGCATTAGGAATTAAGGTAATTTTTTTCTATAATAGCATTCTTTTTTAATTCATGATTTCTTATATGCTTAGGTTGACATATTAAATGTTAAGGACCACCCTCTTTATCAACTTTACCTGATCATTGATGAGCTTGCTAAAAATTATAAAACGCCTTACCCAAACAAACTAATTAATAGAGAAAGTAAAACCATATTGAAAAAAAAAGTAATCAGTGTTGATGTTAAGAATTTTTTATTGAAAAAACCAAGAGAAGGCCGAGCTTTTGTACCAGATAACTTATTATCTGTTGAAAAATCTAATGATCTATTATTCATACCCATACAAAATTCATTAAGATTAGAAAATCAAATGGAGTCAGACTATAATGAAAAGTTAATTGACATACCTCCCAAAGATTTATTTAGTGTTGATACAACACCTACTATAATTGAAGAAGATGTAGGAGAAGAAGTTAAACACACTATAAATACCAATAGAAAACCTATGAGATATTTTGGCCTTAAAATTAAAAAGATGAAACCAGACACAAATAGGAAAAATAAAATAAAAACTAAATAAAACTATTTGTTAGTTTTTCTATATATTTACAATTTTCAATATGAAAATTATATTAAATTGTACATGGGTACATTTTATTTATGTAAGTATTATAACTGTCAAAATTTTATTAAAATACTAAATAATTAAAAACAAATGTAATAATTACAATATATTATCATAGTAGGATAAATTAATTATCCTATTTTTGTGGAATGAGAATGTTTACACAATTAACTTTTTTTGTAAAATACTCACCAATACTTGAAATATCACAGTATATTTTAAAATAATTTCTTAAACTATTAAAAATTAATTTTAAATAATTGTAAAAAAAATTTTTACTAGGTATAAGAGTCATTAAAATTGCTATACTATTATAAATATTTTAACTAAAAAAATTTGTTAAATTTAAATATCTCTATTTTTAATACTAAAAGAGTTTGTCTGAAGAAAGACAGATTTTATTATTTTTAAAATAACTGTTAAAGAAATATGATTAGTTTCTTGAAATAAAATAAAATCTAATGATTTAATAATATTTTCTATAAAAGTTTTTAAAAAACAGATCCAAATTCTGTTTTAGTCAAATAAAGCCTTTCTGTTTGTACAGTATACATAAATTATTAAATTATTTATGACTTAAGTGCTGGTTAAAAAAAACATAATTTTATAATATTATCATCTTTTTTTTTGGTAAAAATACATTACTTTTTTTACTGTCTGTATATTTGTGAGATATCATTATTTATAATATTGTTCACTTCCATAACTGATTCCATAATATTTGAATGGTGTTCAATATTAAATTATTTAAATGATTACATTGACATTCAGTCATCTATTTTGGGTAGGCAATATTTTCTTTAAGCCTATCATGTTTTTGTTAATACCCAATGATTTTACATTGGTAGTTAGCTTTTAATTAATGATTACTAGGTTTTTTGAAACATAAAGACCATATACAGGGCTAAAATTAGTATAATAAAATAGATAAATCAACCATTACTAAAAAAAAAAAAGGATTTAAAATAAATTATGTATAAAATATTCTTACTTGCAACTTCCCACTCGGAAACTGTCAAAGTTCCTACACTATTAATATTACTATCTACTAAAAACTGTTTTGCTTTTATGTATTCTTCATCTATTCCCATTGTCTTATTTCCATTGTGTGGCGGATACAACTACATGAATAATGTTTTGTTTTTTTATTAATAAACAAATATAAATAATTTTAAACTAAATTAACAAAAAGAAAAGCATTGTATTGCATTAACACACTCATCCACAAAGCTCTATTTAAGTATTTAAAAATTGAATCATTTATATATAGAAAATTGAATACTTTTCTTTTTTCTATTAAAATGGATGATGTCAATAAGTAAGGGGAAAAGTCATTTTCTGAATATATTTTTTATTGATAAAAAGTATAAAATACTTTTATTTATAATAGCTTATCGATAATAATAGTTGTTTCTTGATGATTTTCAAAAAGTAGTATTAAGTGACTCTTACCCTTCTTCATACACATTATCCAGTTAAAATGGTTGATTAATATTACCTCTAATGCTCTAATACGACTTAAAAATTTTAAATCTAAAATAGAATATTTTTTAAAATATTCAGAGAAATTCATTTTCATTTTAAGTTCCAATCCAAATTTTTTTGCTAATTCTATCAACAATGGAAAATGAACTAAAAACTCAGGACAATCGACAACGCCTTCTAAATGGAAATTGTATTTAGCTCCAAATAATGGTAATTTGTCAGTATTACACTCAAATTCAATACTATAGATGCTGTTTCCAAACTTTTTGTTGCCACAATTTTTTAATCTTCTTCTATAAAATATAATTAATTTTGAAAAATATAATTATATTATAAGTTAAAATGTATAATTTTAATAGAGAAATATACTATATTACCCAAATCATAAAAATACATATCAAATACATTTTTTAATACAGATTGACAGAAAATAAAATTACATTTGAATCTTATATAAAAAATTACATTACTTTTTTTTTTATTGTTTCTTTAGTAATTAATAAAAAGTTATAATTATTTCAGGCGACTTTTAATATAATTACATTGGATATGATAGTTTAGTATATTACCTATTATTTTGATACCCAATAAAACTAAAATAATTATTAATAAATCTGAGAAACTTATAATAAACTTACACAATTTCATCTGCACTTGGTATTGTTCCTATAAAAAGTCCACCACTAACTAGATTTTCAGATATATTTCTTAACATACATTGAGCTTGTTGAATACTTTCAAAACAATAATGAAATGCAAATTGACAACTAACAAGATGTATTGGTGCTTTGGTATTGATAAAAAATTGGTTTATCATAACCTAAACAAATATTAAATTTGGAAAATTTAAACTTAGAATATTAAATGAACAATAGTATTCTTAATTATATATACTATTTGAAGACCTATAGAGAAATATTATATAAAAATAATTTTAAACTATTAATTAATTCAGGGTATTTTTGGGTACTGTTAAATAAGTGTTAACCTAGTCCTTAAGTATAGTTATCTCTTAATCAAAACTTTAAAAATAGTAATTAATCATAGTAATGAATGTTGTTGAAATTATTGATAATTTCTGAAAACATTTAATATTTTGCAGTAATAATCTGTAAAACATTTAATTTAAATATTGTAATGAACAATTAAAAAAAATTTCATAATTCAGATTGATTATTTTAATGTTAATCATTTTTAATTTTATATATTTTTTGATCTATTAATTATTAAATAATTTTCTATTCATTCCTTGAAATACAGCCTGGACATGAGGTGCAGATATGACTATATTTACCATTTATATATTTAATATACAATTATTCAGCTGAAAAATTTCTCTTCTTACCTAGATATAAAAATAATATCAACTTCTGAAGTACTGGTCTAAATGTTTTTAATTAGATTATTTTCCATTTTATAAACTAGTGAAATATGGATGTTATTATTTAAAAAAGAAAGTTACTATCTTTGATTTAGTAAGAGTTTAACTTAATTACCTTAACATTAGTAAAGGTAAATTTTGAAGAATTTATAAACAATTTAATCATTAGGGGCATTCTAAGAAAGAAGAAAGATGTTTGGACCACCATAAAATTAAATGTTCTACAAACAATATGCATTAAGACTTAATTAAAAGGAATCTAATATAGCGTAGTTTGAACTAATCATATGAATAGTTGGTAGTATAGCCCTGTTACTAATAATAATAAATTTTACATTACTCTAGTACAATCGGCTACGATAAATTTAGCTTTGAATAAGGAATCTTTGCTTCTTCTTTTCATGTCTTCATATCGAGATTTGCAATTAGTTATTGATCCATTTGATATATCTGCAGCTACAAGATTTTTGATACCATTCATATTTCTCCATTTATTTAAATCCCCACCTTTACCACATGCCAAGTCTAACACATTTTTATCGCGAATTCCAAATTCATTTAAGAATTCTCCAGCTTCTTCTATTATATATTTAAAAGTAGACAATTAATTTAAGTAATACTTAGTATATTTCTTTAAATCACTAGTATAATTAAAATAGAAATATTTATAATAAAATTATCAATTTTTCAGTTTGAGAATATTTAATGAAAATAAATTTTAAAATTACATGCATTACCAAGCCATCTAAAAAGACTAATATAGTGGATGGTAGCTTTATAATGATCAACATCCTTTTTTTTTTGGTAGGGATATTTATCTTAGTACTTATAATGTATTATATAGTATATATTTCACTGTTGATGATAATGCTATGCAATTGCTTTCGGTAAAAAAAGGGATTTAGCTAATACTGATTTGATAAATTCATATTTGAAATTTCTACTAAAGTATAAATATGCAAAGACGGTTAATAGAAATTATAAAAATGAATGAAAAAAAAACAATAATTAAAAAAAATTTAATAACATTAAATTTCTATGAAAATCATATAATTAAACAAATAATTATATTTTGTTCTATTTACTTATAAGAGTTGATTTAACCCAATTATTAAAGTTTCTTAAATATAATATTCGTGATTCATTTCGTGCTGATAAATTATTTTCTCCATTATCATAATGTCGAGCTATGGTTATAGATAATTGTTCTTTGGATTCCTTTTTTGCCATATCCTATAAAATAAATAGTATTAAAAATTTAAGATTTAATACAACTACTGGTGGGTAATTCATTTAGGTAACATTTTATAATAATAAAAGGTGTTCAGTAGGTTAATTTCAAGTGTTCAAAAATTGCTTTTCTAATTAAATTAAACAAATTTTTGGAACAAAAAGATCACTCATGTCAATCAGCCTACAAGTAATCATAACTATGAAAAACAAAGATCTAAATCAATTTATTTACATAAAACTAAAAGTGTATTATTTATCACAAATTGTCTTATATAATACTAGCAAACAAATATATCAAAATAATACAAATATTTCCTACATATAAACCATACTATTAGTTCAAATAAATAGGAAGTAATAATAATACTTACTTATTTTCCTAGAAATGTACTTAATTTCTAGGTTCTTATAATAAAATTGTAATGTTGTCTAATTGTTTACTTATTTGATTGTTAATTGATAACAGTGATAAATAACAATATCTTTTTAATACATAACCAACATGACGAAATTATAAGCTAAGGTTTATATAGAAATTCTGTTGTATTCATTGGCCTACTGATAATAACATACTCATTTTTTTATAGAAACTTATCAAACAAATTTTAACTAGCTTATGAATCGTACAGTGATGCACGTGGTATAATGTAAGAAATTAGAAATGGTTATCATTTGATGTCCTGTGGCTACTGCATACTTGTCGAGAAGTTGTCTTGTGGCTACTTTACCCGTACATACTTTAGAGCGTAACGTTTATCACGTTCGTATAAGCCGCTATAATTTCCTCCACCAAGAAATGTTTGTTTCTGAAATCAGAATATATCGTTAGCAAGAAAATTGAATACGTTGCAACGTTGTAATATAATATTTTATTTTGTTAAAAATTACTCCGTAAAATACTTAATGTGGATCAACACTCAATTTATATATATAAAACAATTAATCAATTACATTAATTCTTTATACTATCTCGAAGATAACTGAATTATGTCTGTAGTTCTTGAAACTACAATTGGAGATTTGACAATAGATTTATTTACAGAAGAAAGACCCCACTGTAAGTAACTTAAATTCTTTATCAACTTAAAAATTTTATAATATTTTTAAATTCTGTATGTATCAATTAACTTGATATTTTCTAATTGTTTCAACGTAGTGTTCAAAATAGCCCTTAATGAAATTATCTAATTTAATTTCATTATGTTGGCTTATTTAATAGTACATCATTATTGTAGAAACAGATTTTTAAATTAAATATTGCTTTGTTAAATGTTATTTATGTTTTTAATTAACTTTAAAAATTATTCACTCCTTTTTAAAGTACGTATATACATATGATTTAATTTTAATCCAAATTATAATTAATTTATCTTCTTTAAAATATAAATCATTACATTAAAATATTTACTTATTTTTCAGCATGCAAAAACTTCTTAAAACTATGCAAAATAAAGTATTACAATTTTTGTTTGTTTCACCACATTCAGGCAAATTTTGTTGCCCAAACAGGTGATCCAACAGGCAGTGGAAATGGTGGAGAATCTATTTATGGGTAAATCACATTTTACAAATTTAAGAATAGTTAACAATTTTAATAATTACGTATGATGTTACTACTTAGTATTATTTCTGGAAAAGATGCAAGATATTATGAAGGTGAAAAAAAACCTAAAATTAAGCATGATAGACCTGGACTTGTTTCAATGGTACATTGTGGAAATAACTTGTATGTATTATTATAATTAAATTTATCTATTTTTTAAAATATAATCTTGTATTTACTTTATAACTTTTTTTTAAGAGTTGGGTCACAGTTTTTCATTACCTTAGGTGAAGATACAACATGTTCTTTAGATGAACACTTTGTGTTTGGTGAAGTTACTGAAGGCCATGATATATTGTTAAAGTTAAATGAAACAATCTGCGATGTTAGTCATCGACCCTATCAAGACATAAGGTTTGGATAGTATGAATCATTATATTTTTATTATAATTAATACTGAAGGAAACTGTTTTATTTTTTTTAAACTTATTAAAAGAAAAAATATTGCACTAATTAATCTGTAGCTTGTATTATATTTTATATTATGCTCATGAATAACCTTATATGTTGGTATTTATATTTTAATTTTAATTAAAACATTTTTTAGTGATAAATTTATCATTTTTATCATTACAATTTCTTTTTTTTTTTTTAGAATAACACATACAGTAATTTTAGAAGATCCATACAGTGATCCACATGATTTGATCATTCCTATATCTTCTCCTAAACCACCTTTAGAAGTACTTCAAGTATGTATTTTTAATAAATATCTTGTATATAGATAGGTACTTATAATTAATTATAGTTAAATTAAAATTTTCATTAAATTCGTATAGAGTGATAGAATAGGAGCTGATGAAGATATAACAGAAAGTGTAGATGAAGCAGAATTACAAGAAAAAAGAGAGGAAAAAGAAGCTCAAGCTCGTGCTACTATACTTGAAATAGTTGGGGATCTACCTTCTGCTGATATAGCTCCTCCTGAAAATGTATTATTTGTTTGTAAATTAAATCCTGTGACTAGTGATGATGATTTGCAAATTATATTTAGTAGATTTGGTAAAATTGTAAGGTAAATAATTTTAATAATACTATTTTAAAAATTCAAATTACGATTCAATTATAATTAATTTTTGGCTCTTGTCCATTTAATTTCTATTAAGTGTATAAGTGATACGTAACCCTAAACTGGTTCAGTGTAATGTCACGCACTCTATTTTTTTTATCATATATATTAATTACAATATTGATAATATTGCAAGGAAGTTTTGTATACCTCTGTGGTGACATATAATAACTTTATCTATAATGGTCTAAATATTGTTATCAAACAAAGTAATGTGTCTCATTGCACTATACTAGTAAGATTATATTTAGTACTGTACCAGTTATAAGTCAAACAATAGGAGCTGTCTTCTAGATAATGCACTATTAAATCACTACATAATTTGAAAAAAGAGTCCCTTCCCAATAAAAGAGTTTATATAATTAAAAAAATTTTAATTTTACTCTTATAATTATATTTAATAAAGCAAACAGGACGGTTTAATCGATAACAACAGTGCTTGGTGTGCACTGTCTCAGATTTAAAACTTGGTCATGGGTGACTACAATTGCCAAGCAAAATATCAGTTTGATAATTGGAGTCGCTATTTCTAACCACTCGGTCTGAAATATCAATGGTTAAAATATCCTCTTTTGAAGGAGTCCGATTTGTCCCTAATTAGTTTAAAAAGTGATTAAAAAAGAGCAATAGTTTATATATGTTTACTTAAAATAATTTTTATAAAGTCTAATAATGTGTTTTGTTCAATTATATGTAATCTTTTTTTTCTTTGTAATATTATTACCTTTAAATATTGTCTCCATTTTTGTTAGTTTTTATTCAGCATTCATCAGTATTTTTTTAATTTTAACCGACTGAATGTTAGAAAATTCAAAAGTGAATCATAATTTTAGTTTAACTTGAAAATGTTAATTTTATTACAATGGTAAATCAATTAATAATACAAAAGTAATAATTATAATTACTATTAATGTTACAAACCCTGATTTTTGGGGTCAAAATATACCAAAATTTTTTGCTTTTTGTTTAAACCTGAATATGAACCATAATTTTAATAATATTAATTTTAATAATTTTCAAGCACTAGTTCAATATTCAAACCACTTTACAAATAATTAGTTTGATTTGATTTTTTTAATTTTAAATTTGTTTTACAATCTGATACATCCCAAGTTTGGTTTGATTGGATATTCGAAGGATTCAAACATCATTAATAATTTCTATAATAATATCCCAAAATTTATTTAAAAATTTTCTGAAGTTTACTAAAAATTATTTCTTATATTTTCAGCTGTGAAGTAATTAGAGATAAAAAATCAGGGAATTCTTTACAATATGCTTTTGTTGAATTTGATAATCAAAAATCATGTGAAGATGCTTACTTAAAAATGGATAATGTCCTAATAGATGACAGACGTATTCACGTTGATTTCAGTCAGAGTGTTTCCAAAATAAAGTGGTTTGGTAAAGGTCGTATTAAATACATGGATAAAGATGATGAAGGAAAAAATATTAGTGAAAAGTATTCAAAAAGCAAAAAAAATGGCAAAGATAATAGCAGTAAATATGTTAGTAACCGAGAAAAAAAATTTGATCGCCTAACAGAGCGACCCCATAAAGATCAAAGATATAAACAAATGGAAAGTAATAAAAATAAAAGAGCTTTAAGACATGATAGTCATCAAAATTCTGAGAGAAAATATTATAAAGAAGATGAAATAAAGAGTAAGTATAATGATGAAAAAGTTAGAAAAAGTGATAGAGATGAAATATATAAAAAAAGTGATAGAAAAAATGGGGAAGATAAGGAAAGAAGAAGTGGTGAAGATAAAAATAAAAGAAGTGGTGAAGATAAAAATAGAAGAAGTGGTGAAGATAAAGATAGAAGAAGTGGTGAAGATAAGAATAGAAGGTGTGGGGAAGATAAAGATAGAAGGTATGGAGAAGATAAAGATAGAAGGTATGGGGATAATAAGGATAGAAAAAGTATCAAAGAAGAAAAAGATAGAAGAAACAATAAAGAAAAATGGAATGAAAGAGATGAAAAAGACTCGAGAAGTAAAAATGAAAGAGACACAAAAAGTAAAAATGAAAAGGAAACTAACAGTAAAAATGACAGAGACACAAAATATAGAAGTGAAAAGTATGATACCAAAGATCAGCATAATAAAAATTATGATAAAAGTAAAATAAGTTATATATCTCAAAGTAACGATAAATATTCTAAATCTGTTGAAAATTTGAAACACAAGTCATTAGAAACTGAAAATGGATTGAATAGACAAAAAATTAAGAAAGAAGAAACTACCATATCAAGCAAAATTGGTCAAAAAATTTCAGACAACGAAATGTCCAAAAAAAATATAGCAAAATCAGATGAAAAGAAATTATCTAAAAATGTTCTTAAAAAAAAGAAGAAACGTTCTTGTAGCTCAAGTACAGCCTCTTCTTCCTCATCCTCTAGCTCAGAATCATCTAGCTCGTCCTCTAGTAGTTCTAGCTCTACATCATCTTCTAGTTCTAGTTGTGGTACAAAAGTGGTGAAATATTATGATAAAAAAGGTAATTTAATTAAAGTAGTAAAAAATCGAGATTCTAGTTCAAACTCTGATCACAAAAAGCGCCATAAAAAAAAGATTGTCAAAGTATATAAAAATGTTAAAAGGAAAAAGAGAAGTTCATCCAATTCAACAAATTCATCAAATAGTGATAGTGAAGAAGATAAAAAAAAAAGAAAAAAACAAGGTTCTAAGAGAAACAAAAAATTAAAAATTTGAAATTTCTTTGTAGGCAAAAAAAATTTTTAATATTTTATATGATATATTTGTATGTAATTTTATGAACTTCACTAATTTTAGTTAAAACTTTATTAAGAATAATGATTTGTTTAGTTTTGTTTTTGTATTATTGATGAGTAATTGTAAATATTATTTTAAATGAGTTCATTTAAGGTGTACAAAAATTATGCAACAAATAGTTAATACAAATTAAGTTTTTGTAAAAAAAGTTTTATTTACATATATATTATGTAACTTAAATTATTAAGATATCATACTCTAGATTTTATTTTACTAATCAATTTTAAATACTGGTCAATAAAATGTGTGTGAATGTCTGATCCTATCAATGGTCAATTTTAGGAGGAGTATTACAATATACCCTGAATCTTGTTGTACTAGTCATAATAAGTTGACGAAAAAAAATCTAAGACTAATATAAACAACCCTGTATTACTAAACCAATATTAAAAGTATTTTATAGGTGTCGCTCCAACTAAAAATTTTTTTTAATTGAGATATGGATAGAGCTTTCTCTGGATTCTACCTATTCATTCAAAGTTTTTCATTTTAACTATTTCTCTGGATGTCAATTTGATTAATATTAAGTGATGGGATCGATTTCTGCTGTGTCATTGAAATAATTCAAATTGAATACGATTTATATGTTAAAAGAAATTCCAACTTAATATTTCTTTTTATGTATTTTTTCTATTGAGTGACTGTGTAAAAAATTATTCTTAAATTACTAAAAAATGTTATCCAATAATACTTAACTTATTTAATAAGGGATTTATGCAATACTAGGTATTCTTAATTGTCGAAAGTTAATTATTAGGTAACGATTTTAAAATATTAAAAATTTTGTTTACTTTGGCACCACCTTGTATTTAATATTATTTGACTAAATAAATACTTAATATATTCAATAGCGTATTTAAAAGATAATTATTGATGTAAAAATACCGCATTTAATTTGTCGGTTACGTAATAAAGGTACAGTATAAATTTTATAAAAAAAAATATTAGAACTTTGATAATTACATAAAAACAAAATCAGTTATTTGAGAAACAATAATTAGTCAAAAAATATTATTTATAAAAAAATGAAAATATTTTACAAAAAATTATTTTAGAATAATTACGCAAATAATATAAATTAATACAATAATGTAAATATCTGTAAAAATTCAAATATCAATTATTTATAGAAATATAAAATATAATTTATAGAATCTTTAAAACTTCATTGAGTCATACATTTAAATTATTTGAACTATATAAATAATACATTTTTTAAATCCTAGTAACTCTTGCTATTTTTAGGTTGAAAACCACAATTTTAAGTTAAATATAATAATGTCCATGAAGTGCGGACCACTCCACTATCAATACATTGCTATCGCCATGGGGTCTTGGATTTTTCAAATGATGGGGTGCATTGTATATAGGCTAATAAAGCCCTCTACATTTCTGTTGTGGAGTAATGAAATCCCACTAATATGCGAAAAGTTGTTAAGAAACTCTCCCTTCTTTTAATAAATTTTTATATACTATTATGGGTGGCCCAAATATGAGTCAGCCCGAACTTTATATGAGGTATGTTTCACATTATAAAACATTTGAAATTTAATATTAACAAAACAAACAAATAATCGGTTGACATAACTTTGCAACCACAAACATATAAAAACAATTTATTATATATCTGTTGCTATTTATTACTGTTACAATGAAAAATAAAATCATGGAATAAAAAGGTAAAAGAATGGTTATTTTTCCAAGATATTTGAATTCCAAGGACAATTCGGGTAAACATAGTATTTTTTTTTTTGTCACAGTCAATCAGTGACGCCGTTGGCTGCCGTGCAGGACTCCGTTATATCGTTTGTCGGTATATCGTGATAATAAATTAATATACATATATTGGTTTTTTGCAACTTTTAGTGTCGCACAACTTTATTTTTTTGGTTTGTGTTTTTGTGTTCTTACAAATTGGAAACACAATGGCTGATGAAGATATACCACATACTAATGGAAATGGGATAGAAGAAAATGGTCATGTGCCTGAGATAGAGCTTATTATTAAGGTAAACACTTAGTTTAAATTGTTGGAGATTATTTGATACTTATTAATCTAATAAAAATTTTATGAAGCGATAAATAATATCAAATAACATCATAATTTTACATTTCTTAAACAATGAGTTAAAAAATTGTTTAATTAAATATTTAGAGTTAGCTTAAAGAGATTTAGATTTTAAAGTTTTAAGTTCCAAACAAAACATTGAACACTATGTTTTTCTTTAATTATTAAAGTTTTTGATTAGATCTCAGGAATATTTATTTATAATTATCTTATACAAGTATAATAAGTATAATTTTATTTTCACGAAGTAATATGCTTATTATGTTCAGTGACATAATTTTTAAAATTTATTATAAATTAACACTATAGAAAAGTAAACTAATACTTCTAGACTTCATTAGAAATTGACTGATGATCTAGTCAATTTGGTTTTGAAATTCAAAATTTGTTCTGATTTTCTAACCTTTAATTGACAATTTAATTCAATCTGTAATTTTTAATTTCACTGATTAAAACAAAATTATTATACTGTTTGTCATCTTTAAAGTAAATAAGTTAGAAATAAATATAAAACCGTTTTTCTTACGCACAACTTAGAATAGTGTTTTGAAAATATTTTCTTATCGTAACAATTTTTGCTTGTTAATGGCTCTAATAAAAAAATATTAAAATATTTAACTATTTTGATTATATATTACTTCTGTTAATGATTACCTATCAAATATTAGTAAGAACTTTTAAAATGTGTTATAAGTAACATATATTAAAATAAATTAATATAAAATGTATAAGTGGTTTTGGTGTTTAAAGTGACCGTACTTCCTGAATAATGTAACATTTTTATGAGAAATTAGCATCTCTAGTAAATAATATTGGTTATTTCTTGTTATCATTTATTTATTTTTGAAAAACCGCTAATCAATTATAAAAGTAAATTATTAATCAAACATCTGTCATATTTTCTAATGTTCAGGTTAAAATTTTTCATAAAAAAAAAAACAAAATTTCAATAAAAAAAATTTTGTCCGATTAAAATTATATGTAGTGAATTCGAAGAGATCATATCAATTAGATAATTAATTTTAATCTAAAAGATAATATTAGTAATCTACTGCTTTTCAACAAATAATCATCTCATGTTTTTTGGTTACGACACTAGAAAATCGTAGAGTTTCAAAAATCGAAGATAGTATTTTTCTTAAATGATGAATAATTTAGATATTTAACTGTTGGGACTCTAACTGTGTGTAAGTGCTTGTTGGATTGGTTAGAATAACTTCAAAATGGCTAACTTTTTTCATTGTTTCCCTATTTTTTCGTTATGACATAGTACCACTGGTAGATAGTCATAAGGAAAAAGTCACTAGCCATAAATATTTCTATAACAGTAATTAACTCGAGCTTGTAAAATTTTTAGTCTACTTTTACGCCACGCCCGGTACTCCAAATATAGACGGTATTAAAAAAAACGCATATTTGTTCTTTTTTTTTTTTTTACGCGAGACTTAATAGATGTAAGCCCGTGTATAAAATCTAAACAATATCAGATACACATTTTGTTATTAATTAATATGCCGTTTGTAGAAACGATCTTCATTTACTTCATTTTTAACCGAACGATATATTATTTTATTAAATTAGTATAAGAAATATATATAGGATATCGGAAATTCCCTAAAAAATTTATTTGGTATTCTTTTGTACGTGGAAATCAATTGTCGATCTCCAAATCATTGATTCATTAGGTAATTCTATGTACATCAACCAGGTTAGTTAATCTTATGATTTTTTTTTTTACTGATTGTTCAATTATAAGTGACGTTGTTGTATGTAAAAATATGTTGATAAAATGATCAGTATGAAATAATTTCAATTTTTATATTGGTATAGTATATTCTGATATCTTATATTAATCACATAATAAAGATTCAATTTCACATCATATGATACTTCATTGAAATCCCATTTTAGCACAAGTTTAACCTTAAATTTTGAAGTATCATATACTTCAATCATCGACTACTCAAATATTTGAATAAATTTGTTATCATGTGCTAACATGCCTTAAAGCGGTGTCCCGTATGCAGTGAACAGACGCCATTGCAGATGTCTCGGTGGTGTGTGCCCATTAGCCTACCCATCCACCCTCGTCCGGTCTGTTACTATACGGCGCGTGCAGACGTCTGTGCTCGGTCGTTTATTTACAGCTGCCGTTGTTGTCTGTTTACTTGCGTTGCTGACTTAGTTCGTTGGTACCAGTTTTCGTTATTTTTACAATCGTACCCACGTTTCATCTTGCCAATATCATATAACGTAAATTATGTTCCTCTTGAATTTCATTTTGTTAGATGTGTATCATATATATTATCTTAATAATCGTTAAAGTTTAAGACAATAACAATCGTTAGATTACGAATTATATATGACACAATTGTTAAACTACGAAAACAACTATTTAAGTGATGGTTATTATAATGGCGCATGAGGCCTAAACAAAATGATATGAGTAATAACAAAGAATTGTTCTTTTGTTAGAGCATGTATGATAAATTTGTCAAACTGACAACATTCTTGACTTTTTTATACTCATTGTCACAAAACCAAATATTTTCTTTGTAGAGATAAGCAATACCGATAGTGCGAATTCAACTTCACACCTATTGTTTACAACATATTTGACAATGTTTTTATTGTTTCTTCCACTTAACTTTATTGCTAAAATTGTTTTTTCTGTAACGATAAAAACTAAAATGGCCTATATGCATATAATGAAAGCGTAATATATAGTTCAAAATATTCATTAAATATAATAAATTACATAAAATATACTAAATATTATAAAATACTGTACTTTGAAAAAACTTCGTTTTATACTTTGGATACTTGAAATGTCTATTATAAGACCTAGAATTCTGATAATAATATTTGCTCAAAGGGTTATTGGTAATAACTTATTAACATAAAAAGTTAGGAAAAAATAACTAAAGGAAATGTAACAATTAAAACTACACTATTGTTTAAATTATATAAAATATAGTATTTATAATAATTATAAATACTATATTATAAAATTATATATTCAATCTCATTTCTTTTATTAAGTTTTACTTTAGGATTGTCTGATATAACTATTTTATATGATTTTTAAGATTGCAATTTCACGTGTATAAGGTTGACTATGGCTATTAAAAAGTTACTTTGTCAGTTTACTCTTAATTTTTTCCAACTAACATCAAATTGGATAAGTTCGTGTTATAACTAGTTCATAGTTAGATTATATAAATTATTAAATTTAATACAAATTTTGAACAAGAGGTTTTATATAATCGTGCTGAAATATTCACCATGTAAATGCGCAAAGTTGTACGTAATTTTAACAAAGGAACGTTTTAAAATATTTGACCCATTACTTTCACTTTATTACTTTAAGCAGAACTTTATACAGTGCACTAAATAATACATTTGAATTTTATCATTCATAATATAATGAATTGAACCCAAAATTATATATATTTCTTGATGATCATGAATTGTAATAAGTAGTCCACTCATTGGTTTATATAAGAGATGGGAAATATCAAATTGTAACTATCGAACTATTAGATAGTCATTCAAAAACTCTTCGAATAGTAAAAATATTCGATAGTTATTCAATACAGATAGTTTTTAAAACTATTCTATAGTTATAGTCGAATGTTATTCAAACTATTCGATAATTTTTTAAATATCTGATAGTGTATGCTAAAAATATACTATTCGGCTGTATAAAAAAATTGAAATAGTTATTCGATAGTTTAAAATATTTGAAAATGTCCATCACTAGTTTATACAGTAATAACGAATATGTAGTTATTAGTACTTTATACGCTGTCCAAAATACGTAATAAATAATTTTTATATTTAATTTGCAATTTTTTAATTAAAATTCATAATTATTTATTGTAAAATGTATGAATTAATTATAAAATTATATTTTTCATATGAGATGGGTCATATTTTAAATATTTTTTGCTATTCTACGTTATTATATTTTTTATTCACTCGTGCCTATAATGAGCCATGACATCATGTTGTATGATGTTCGCCATACTGCAAAACTATAGAAATGTATTAAAATAAAAAGTAGAACGCGTGTTTTAGTTGAATTATTACTGTTTTTCTAGATTGTTCTTTTTGATTTTTTTGAATTTCATGTTTGCATTTTGACTATAATTAATTTGAACTAAAAACATGTATGACGATTAATTCAGTGAGTCTAATAAATACTGGGATATCTTTTAGAAAAAAAAATTTGCCTGTCGAATTGTCATTGTTTTACAGACCTTTAAGTATGTTTTAATCACTCGTTCAAACATTTTTCTAATGATGGCCATACCTAAAGATCTATAAAAAACAATAGCAATTCGAGAGACAAAATTTTCCTAGACGATGTCCGAATATTTACTTGATTTACTATAAGTATTTCTTGTGGATGCTTTTGGTTAACTATTTATTATATGTGCATCAGTAATTAATTATTATTGTTTAAATGCTACATGCATTTGTTGTAAGTGTAGATTATAATTTTACACTAAAAATTGTTATAGATTGTCTTCATAGGTTGTAACATCACGCACACGTCTGATCATCCAATACATTTTATGTTTATAGAAAATGTCATACATTCAGTAATTAGTAAAAATTATGAGTATATTCTTAACAATTAGACCCGGTTATACGTTTGTTGGGTCAAGGCGGTAATTAATCACGCAACAATAGTTATCAGCATGTATCCGGCTATGGGAATTTTTGTGTTTATGCTTAGCAGTATTTACATTACAATACAAATTGCTCTGTGGTTCAAAAATAATATGTCCCGAAATTTTAAACACCTGCTTTTAATGTTAAAATATTACAGATATATTTTCGCGCTCACATTTAAAGTCAATACTTTCAAAATATTATTTATGTGTAGAACCATTTTAAACTTTGAATTATAATTGGTTTTTAATATTATTTACT